TTCTTATTATATTTTGTATTTCTCCTTGTTTTCCTAAGGAAAGGTTAATCCACATTAACTGGTAACTATTCAAATATATTAATATGCAGGTAAATATATATTTTACACTCAGTTTGATTCTTATTTCTAATAGGATATATTCTTGAAATATTCATTATTAGAGCTATTATACTTCACAGCATTTGCTCAGATGATTAGTTTTTTAATTTCTTACATGTTTTCATAGTTTCTTACACTTTAATGATGGACAATTAGATAATCTAATTTCTCTTCTATTAAACTAGGCATTTATAATTCATGCAGATGTCCATAGCTTAAGCCTAGAGATTTTTGATAGACTAAAACATTTAGGTCCTCTAGAGACTATACTGCCTGCACAGGAGATAAATAACAGAGACTGTGACTTCATTTCTACCTAAGGCTATCAGCAGAAAATAAATTATGCATCAAAAGCCTTGATAATAGCATCATATAAATGTACCCATGTTCCACTAATAAGAAATCCCTTTGTGCTCTCCACACTGAAGTCTCTGCCAACTTAGTTTAGGTGACAATTGTTTCCCACACCTTAAGCCTGCTCATCACTATGATTTGGAGAATCTGAGCAGCATTTATCAGCTAGTCATTGAAAAAATAATGGTTTTGGTACAAAAATACTTGCGGTTCTGAAAATATTGGATGACTGCACCCAAAGAGTTATAGCTCAATGCCCAAATAGAAATCAGTAACAACTGTCCCTCAGGGGTCCCTACTTGGACCAGTGCTATTTTGTATCTTCATTAATGACATAGCAGGATTGAGTACACCCTCAGCAAGTTCCCTGATGACACCAAGCTGAGTTGTGCAGTTGATAGACTAGAGGGAAGAGATGCCTCCCAGAGGCACCTTGGCAAGCTTGAGGGGTGGGCCTGTGCAAACCTCATGAAGTTCAACAAGGCCAGGGTCAAGATCCTTAAGGGCAATCCTTAATATCAGTAGACTGGGGGATGAATGGATTGAGAGCAGCCCTGTGGAGAAGGACTTGGGGATCCTGATGAATGAAATAATGTACATGACACAGCAATGTGTGCTTGCAGCCCAGAAAGCCTGTCGTACCCCAGGCTGCATCACAAGAAGTGTGGCCAGCAAGTCAAGGTGATTCTCCCCCTCTGTTCTAGTCTTGTGAGACTCCACCTAGAGAACTGCATTTAGCTCTGGGGTACCCAGCACAAGAAAGATGTGAATCTGTTTGAGCAGGTCCAAAGGACGGCCATGAGAATGATCAGAAGGCTGACAGAATTGGGGTTATTTAGCTTCAGGGACGCCTTATTGTGGCCTTTCGATATATAATGGAGGTTTATAAGAAAGATGGAGAGAGGCTTTTTATTGTGGTCTGTAGTGAGATGATAAGGGGCAATGACTTTAAATTGAAAGAGTTTAGAAATGGATTGGACATAAGGAAGAAATTTTTTATGATAAGGGTGGTGAGACACTGGAACAGATAGCCCAGAGCAGTGGTGGATGGCCCTTCCTTCAAAGCAGTCAAAGTTAGCTTGGAAAGGGCTTTAAGCAACCTGATTTAATGAAAGATGTTCCTGCTCATGGCAGGATGCTGAATTAGATGACCTT